AATTTTCCCATTCCAAGGTGATATAAAATAAATAATTAATTAGGTAAATTCATAGTTTTAATTCTAACTTGATTTATTTTATTTAACATTTAAGGCAAATGTGATTTCCAAACACAAGATAAGTTCCTTATCTCTTTAATTACATAATTGAAAGCATTAAATTTATTTAGCAGTTATTATTTGGCAACAAAGCCACCGCTGGAACTGCTATTACCAAGTAGAAGAGTTACCACGCTAAATTTTATAGCTGGAAGCCGGCTAAGGAGACCCTGCTTCCATTTCGGGTTGCCAATTTCCAGCATTTAAGTAGCAGTCTGTAGCAGTACGCTATATTGTCTGTGATAAAACTTTTACGAAACAAGAGCAAAATGAATCTACTTGGGAGACATATTAAGAAAAAAATCTGTTTTATATTCTTTTATTTATAAAACAATAACAATATATTTTATTGTGCCTTAAACATATTTTGTGCATTAACATTTATACATTGATACGTTTCAGTCCGAACCAAAAACCGCCTTCAGCGGTCAAGTTAAACTGCTTTCTGGATATCTGAACTGGAATTCTACTTTTCTCCACAGGTATCAGTTCAAAATGTTTCAAAATTTGAAAGATCACAGTTTTGATCTCCAGTAGAGCAAACCTAGAACCAATGCAGTTACGGGGACCCAAACCAAACGGGAAGTAGGTGTAGGGCTTGATTTCGCTTTTGTTTTCATCGTTGAATCTTTCGGGGTCGAAACGTTCTGGATTTGGAAAATATTTCGGGTCGTGGTGTATACCATACACAGGTAAAGAAATCATAACGTCTTTCTCTACACGCAGAGGTGTCTCGTCAGGCAATATTGGCTCTATGGTGTAGGGTTTTGTGCACACTCTGTCTATACCTAGGAGTATAGGCCACTTCCGTAGGGTTTCTGTAACGTTGAATAAAGAGAATATTTTACAATATTGTTTTAAATTTATAAATAGACACAATTTGCATGGAATAGGATTTTAAGATAATGGGAATTGTGGTCACGAAATTCAAAAGGGTGTAAATTTAAAATATCAGAATACATTATCTCCTCCCAGATGTAAGGTCCGTGAGTGAATCGTACGTGACGTAAAACCCAGGGTCTGATTCAGGACACTGAGCTTGTTCATATTTCAATATACAAAATAAAAGAGACAATAAATATTTCACAGGATATACAGTGTGGACCATTTTGGTAATGCATGTATTGGTGTCTTAGAAACCATAAGAGATAGGAAAATGGTTAGATGGGGAAAGTTTTAGACAGTTCTGTTAATGGCGCTTGCAAACCGGTCCTAGCTCTTCACGTTTTTTGAAAAAAAGTAAATGTGGCGTTTTTGAAAATCGTCAGTAACTTGTTTATTTAGAGGCATTTTTCAAATCTGAACACACTCTTTTACAGCCAGTTTTTTCGAGGAATTTCACTGTATATTTAGATTTTCATTGCGACGTTTCAGTTATGAGAAACCATTATCAATTTCTTCTTTTCTTTTGGACGCCATATTCAATTTTAATCTGAGCATACATAAAAAATTTCAAATGAGATTATTTATATATCTTTACACTGTAGCAAATAATTCGATCTAACATTATTTTTATTAATTCAGGTAAATTACGTTTCTGGAATATTTGATAAGTTAGATACATGTTAGTAAACTAGGTATACATTTGGTACTAGTTACAGGCACTGCTTTAGCCTTAACCAGGAACCTTTGATCTGTCCTTGTTATTCTCGGGCTAAGCTCTGTTGGGCGGGCCCTCTATCAGATATTGATTGATACTGATTTCGGTTCTTGTTGTTCTCAATGGCAATTAATTATTAATACTTTGTAGGTTATATCTGCCTCACACTTATTTTTTATATTTTAGTCATATTTGTTAGTGCATACCACTTTTTATGTAGTGACTATTAGACTTTGTAATATAGCTTGGAATGTAGGTAATTGAAAATTCCAAACGTCTTTTAAAATTCTTAATTTTTATAAATAGATACGATTCAGCGATATTTTAATCTTGATTTTTTTTATTATCGATAAACAACATTCGGTTTCTTTACTTCCATGCCGTTGTTGTGAACAAAATTAACCTTCTACAAATACGTATATTTTTCATGCCGTCATTTATAAACAAAGTCCGAACCTGGAATGTACGATTTAGTCACGGACCTTACAACAAATCATATTCTTTATGTTTACATTATTTTATCTGCTCTTTTCTTTGATAAAGAAAATAAATTACTAAACTACTAAATGGAATTGCCCTGTGTTTAAGAATGCCAAGAATGTTAAGAAAAGAATAAAACACATTCCTACAAACCTGAGACGACCATGTCCATGTACTTCATCTTGAGAAGACCTTCATACGTGAGTTTACCTTCACATTCTTCTAGAGTAGACCTAACCTCATCTCTTAACATGTCCTGGATATCTGGATTGGCCGCTAATTCATATGCCAAGAAAGACATGATGTTTGAGACGGAATCAAACCCGGCGAAAAAGAAGATCATAGCTTGCGCTGCGATGTCCGTATCTGTTATGTCTCTGGGCAATTTCGCAGATTTTACTGAAATATGTGTATACTTAATTTCCTTTCTTAATTGCCTTTTTAAATGCCTACTAACCAGAGTTGCTTTCTTGGGCGGTGGAAAATCCTGTATCGATGTCTGCGTTTTCCTTCACGCTGTATTTTTGAACTCCTCTTCTTGCTTCCAACAGTAGATTCAACATGTCTGGTCGTGTGATGTTTTTCTCTTCCCTAACTTTTATCGTATCCTTTACAATAGTCTTGAAGAAAATACCCACTTCCTTGGGGAACGGCTGTATATTCAGTAACTAAAATTATTGAAATACCTCAAGTTTAAATTATATGTATTACGATACAGATTTTTAGTCTAGTGATACGAAAACGATCTTTCTGCTTATAACCATCAGACTGAGAACCAAATACTGATTGAAAGCCGCATCTATAGCGATATAAATGAACAGCATAAGGACAAAAAATGTTATGATGGCTGTCATATACAGTGTGTCCAAATGAGTCGGTACCATATGGGATACTTTTTATTATTGGTGTTATGAAAAAAATTTATTCTTGATAAAAAGTTCTGCATGGCCTAAAATCCAAAACGAAATAATCAAATTTCAATTTTTTTGCAGCCGTATACGAGGTTTGTTGAAAAATGTAAATTTTGCTCAAGAAAAGTTTACCCTAATAGAAAACTACGGTCAGTTATCTACTATTATCCATCTACCATTAAAAAACAGATTTTGTTATTTTTACAAACTCTTCTCTCTATTAGTATTGATAATTTACGTCTAGAGATCGACATTAAATCTAGGATGCACTGACAAACGAATGAATTCAATACAGTAAATGTTTTATGACTTGCAAAATTAAATTATAATTTATTTGTTTGTTTTCTACCTACTATGTTTATACCCAAAAATTATTAAATATTGTTTTTAATGGTTGTTGAATAATATGGGATATATGACCGTAGCTTTCTATTATCATAATATTTTACCCCTTCCATGTTTGTTAATTTTCGAGCTGTGTGTGTTTATTTTTAAAAATAAAAGCAATTTCGTTTTAAGTGAACGAGTGCACGGTCTAAATACGAGACAAAGAGATCATTACTTTGTTCCAAGTTATAAATATAATGCAACAATTAATTCACCTAACTTTTTAAGCAAAAAAGTTTTTAATAAATTACCAGTACATATTAAAAATATAAACAATTTAATCTTGTTTAAAAAACAATTAAAACTTTATCTTCTGGATAGATGCTTTTATAACTTGAGCGAATTTGTATGATCTCTGCCGATTCATTCGTTTATTTTTCGTTTTTTATTCTCCTCTTTTTTTAACTTANTGTGCTTCGGACGGTATATTTTTCTTTAATTCATAGCCATCTGAATTATGGTGTGGTTTTCTGGGGTAATTCAACTAATGTTGGCAGAGTTTTCAGCTTACAAAAGATGGCTATTCGCATTCTTAGCAGCGCACCACCTGGAAGCCATTGCCAGCCTCTATTTAAGAAGCTGAGGATTTTGCCCCTGCCTTGTCTGTATATACTGCAAACTTTAATTTGTATTCATACTAATCACTCAGATTTCCCCACCCATTCATCTAATCACACTTACAATACAAGGCATTAACACAATTTGGTTCCTGCTCGTTCCAGAATTAAATTAACAGTAAACAATAAGCTTGATCTCAAGTTGTATAATACTCTTACTGGTCGTTTCCCAGATATTAATTTTAGAAATATGAACACCATCCGGTTTAAACACTATGCGAGGAAGTACCTTGAAACTACTTGCTTCTATAGTTTGCAAGCGTATGTAGTAGGTTAGGATATTTCTTATTTATCTGTGTTATTTTAATGTAACTCTGACTATACATATACATTGTATATATTTTGGTCAATAAACTTTACTCTACTTTACTTTAATATATATTTTTTTATTGAATTCCTTCATAAAACCACAGACAAAATAGCTATCGCCACAGACCGCTACTGGAATAGGCCGGTAGTTTTAAATTTCCGAATTGCCGGTAGAGTACAAAGTACAACACCAGCAGAATTTTAGGAAGAATCAAATGCAGCGGCCCGCATACCTACGNACTTTACTCTTGAGAAAAATTTACATTTTTCGGTAAACCTCATATACGACTGCAAAAAATTGAAATCTGCTTATTTCATTTTGGGTTTTAGGTCACGCAGAACTTTTTATCAAGAACAACTTTTTTTCATAAAACCAATAATAATAAAGTATCCCATATCCCGACTTAATTGGACACACTGTATATTTCTACGATATTTGTGTTTTGACAGATATTTATGAAATGCTACTTTTTATTATACTTCTTTGAAAACACCTTATTTTCATTTGTATTAATAATAATAATAATAGGCAGTACCTGTTTTGGTTTGGGTGAATTGAATATCCACGGAGATTTTTGCCTTTTTGACTTTCAAATATGACTAGAAATGAAAATTTTTTTATGCGCATAAAAAAAACGTGGGCTTAACTATTGGCGGCACAATATGTTAAAAAAATTCGGAAAATGTCATATTTTTCTTCCTATTTAATTGTATCTTTTCAAGAGTTGATTTTAGGCGAAAATGGAAGAGGAAAAAATGTTTGTAATAACATTTTTTACAAAATATGATTAGTTACAAATCGAATGAATCATGATTATTATTGTAAAAATCGAAAAAATCGCCAATAATGGAGTTAAAAACATTACTTTTTAGGGATTTTTTTGGGGTCTTTAAATTGGGAGTAGGACCTTCATACTTGGCTCAAGAAAACTTCATGTTATGTAGAATCATCACACTAAATTTCATCAAAATCGGTTCCATAGATTATGCATGATAATTTTGAAATCCAGATTTTGAAAAAAATGTGCAAATTTTCAAAATTTTGCACAGCAAAATCGAAGAATCTTAGATACTTGAAAATTTAATCACATATAGAAGGACTCTCAAGCTTTCAAACGCTTGCTGAAAAATTCGAATCCGTCAATTAGGAGAGTTCTGGCGTTTGTTTAAACATTGGTCGAATTTTTGTACTTATAAACAATTAGAATAACTTTGTGAATATTCAATCAAATCAAATTTTTTAAAGCAGGTTTTAAAAGTTATTGGAAACCGTCATTTACACTAAATGTACTGAGACATTCTTGCTAATTTTTCGAAAATTACCTTTGGTATTCCGAGTACTTACCAGGTTTAAGTTTGCAATACTTTTCTTCATTGGCAACCTACTTTAAAACGCATTTAAAGTTATTAAGAAGTAACCAAATTTTTATGTGAAGCTCCAGATGAACAAAATCTACCACCAAAAGCAATTTTAGTGCTTGGGAAAATTGTTGCAGAATACCTAAAACGGCGTTGATTTACTAACTCTGAAAAGGCACAGATGATGGCGTTCTTCCAATGTAGCAGAAGGATATACAGAAGAATCCATACAAAGAAAAATTGAGGTATCACAAAAATGATTTAACCCTTCCCACTCGGAAAACATAACAACTGTATCGTTCGTTTGAGAAAATTGAAACATTTGCGAAAAGTCCGCTTCAATAACTGCAGTTTTACAAAATTAAACTCCAGAAGAACTAAACCTGTGCAATAATACGAATATCTCACTATACATGTTTTCTTTATTCCTATAACTTTCCTTATTTCCTTCGTATACCTGCTTCACTGTAAAAAGGATATCTGGATTTATATCGCTATTTTTCACTGAAGTAAATGAAATATTTCATATTGCAGTTGGTGCTTCTCACTTACCTTATAAATTTTAGGAATTACGAAATATCCGAACAATTTGAATTTTTTCCAAAAACCTCTGAAATTCGTAGCTTCCTTCCCCATCAAGTAGAAAGGATTGTTCGGTTGTTCCAAAGAGTCCACCTGAATTCCAAAAGCTGTGGTGGCTATCACGTCATTTGTGAAACGAGTAAAGACATCTTTAAACTCTATCACCACGACATCCTCGTTCTTTTCCAGGAAATGCCGAATGAAATTTTCGGCGCATTCCGATATTAAAACGAACATAGTCCTCATTTTGCTGCTGGTGAAGGATGGGCTGAGAATTGACCTCATCTCACGCCACTTTTCACCTAATAAGTAAATTAAACTCACAATTCGGTTAACGACTAAACCCTTTTCAAGTTTATACCTTTAAGAGCGAATAAATTGTTGTTCCATAGCGGGTCAATATCTTCCTGAATGAAACTTTTGTGGTCAGTAAAATGGTCGAAATCCTTGACTGTGATCTGTTTTATCAGATCTGGGTCTTTCACTAGCAGAATAGGCAGGAAAAACTGATACATACCCGAGTATCTGCAAACAGTCGGGTGTTTCTAAAATAGGGTTCCAAACTCCTGCTGCGTTTATAACTCATTAAAATAAGCCAAAAAGTTCCAATTAACATGTGCCCTAAAACGCACCCTTAGGAAGTTACATGCCCTTAAAAGGGCTCAAACAAAACTGGTTTTTTTCTGTTATTGACAAAACGGTCGCAATTAAATAGAAAAAAATTTATTGGTCTTACATAACTTTTTACGTTAAATAACATGGGCTACTCCGGTTTTCGACATGCAAATCATATGCGTCCCATTTAGGTTGGTGAAGGGG